CAGAATTCCTCAGCCAGCTTTGCTGGCTGAGGAATTCTGGGAGTTGAAGTCCACAAGTCTTAAAGTTGCCAAGGTTGGACACCCCTGCTCTAGAGCCTGGAGGAGGATGAGAAATTTAACATGCAGGAGTGGGGGAGCAGAGTGAAGTTCATGAAGTAAACTCCAGTTTCTCAGCGTGGACCAGCAAAAGGCGGTGGGTGGCGACAGCAGGGAATACAAAAGACAACTGGAGAGATGGAACAGTGCTTGGCCATCCAGGCTTTAAAGAAAAGTTCAATTCAGGGCAAGGGGCACAACCAACACTTCTTTCTAAAACAGAAGATCCTGCTAAGCTCCAGATCCTACAAAACAAGCCGCGCTGTTCAATCCATGCGCCCACCTTCTGCCTTTCTACAAGGACACCTCCCTCCCCGCCACCCCGCTTGTGGCTGTTAGCAGAGAGGGGAGTGCTTCTGGGACGAGGGGAGCCGGGAAGAGAAAAGGCAGCTTGCAAGAGTGGAGACAGGAGAACAAAGCAAATGAGTGGCCAGCCAGTCTCTTTATTCCCCTTCACTCATCTCCTCATATGAGAAGCGACCGAAGGGCCTTCTTGCCGGGAGCGCTGCCCTAGTTTAGATTCCCCATCTCCCTCTGCAGCCCTCGGTTGAGTGTACCTGCCCCACCGAGAAGAGAAGCGGACTGCTTCAGTGACATCACCACCACCTAAGCCCAAAATCTTTCATCTTGAAATGTTTCTTGAAAGTCACCCCAAAGTGATGAGCAAAGTAGGCTCCTTATCCTACATTCTCATTAGGGGTAGTCCTCGACTTACGGCCACAACTGAGCCAAAATTTCCATTGCTAAGCAAGATTTAAGTGAGTTTTGCTTGTGATTTTTGCTTACCATCATTAAGTGATGTTCAGTTGTAGTAAATAAATAGAGACTATATCTTGTTGGGGCCTTTGAGGCGAGCGGTTGGGAGGCAGAGCCAGCTGTGGTGAGTGATGTCGATTTAGCCATGCCCACCCAGTCACATGCCGACCCAGCCACGCCTACCCAGCAGAGAAACGGTTGTTAAATTATTTGAATCCCACCACTGATCAGAATCCTATAATATAGATCGAGCTGATGGAGTATGACTAATCCAAAGTCATCTAGTGAGCTTTTGCAACTGAAAGTGGAACTGGATATACAATAACTTTCAGGGTCTAATCCAGCATTTCATTGCTAATGAAATCATCATCAGGTCAATTTGAATGTGATCTGCTTATAATGACTATAAATTTTAATTTATGACAATAAAAAGCTTCATTTTGCAATAAGTATTAAGCAGTTATAAATTGGTTCTCAAACCAATAATGGTAATTGAAAGTACTATGAGATAATCTGTATTTAGGAGTAAATGAGAGATTTTTGGTTATGTTCAGAAGATAGAAAAGTGTATCATTGGAAGGTTTCAACTACAGAACTAAAATAAAAGTTCAACTGCAGTAGGGACAATGCCGATTCCTGTTTCACACCATTCATTTGTTATGAAGATGTAACCTATGGGGTATGATCATATCACTGCTATCTACATGAATTCCTTTGTACAAAGCCTTTCTCAGGGTCTGAATGTTATTTTAAAATTAACAGACATGTATGATTCCCTTAGATCTGGCTTCATTTGTCTATAAGATGACTTACTCCAGGCAATGGCCAGTAAATGCATCATTGGCTCAAACTGTTCATGTATTACTTATGTTTACTGTTGCTCAAGCCTTTAAACATTCAACAGACAAGTGACACAGTTAATAAACAGAATATGACACTAACCTCACTCTGTCAGTGTTGTATATGAGTGACTCATTTTCCTTCTTCCAGAAAATCTGAGGTGGAGGCACACCTGAAATCCGGCATTCCAGTCGCACTGGAAACCTCTCAGCCACTCCTGTATTCTGTAGTTTCTCTGTAAATACAGGTGGCTTGTGTGGTTCCTTCGCTGAAAAGACAGAGATGTCCCCCATCCCTTATATCAGTATATATTTTGTAGTGTGTTCTCTTAACATTTCTTAGCACTAGGGGTACCTGACAGAGAGAAGTTGGAATTTGGAAAACGAAAATGTCACGTTATTTGCTGCTACCTAAAGGGCGGTGGTCTAGCCAATTGGCTATGATGAAATGTAATATTTTGCCAGAATTACTGATGATTCTCCTGTAATGAGCACACCATCCAAATATTTCAGCTTGGCTCTGTTTTCCTATTGGGAATGATGAAGCAAAAGCTGATGTAGAAGTCAGAACTTTTAATTATATCCACAGACAGACCCAATTTCTCACTTCCCAATCAACTTCAAACTTTGCTTTCTGTTTCTTTTGGGGAGGCAATAAGATATCTCAGTGTGGATATAATAGACTGCTATAGCTTCCTTGTTAATTTCTGGAAAAAAAAACATTACTTCTACTAACAAGGAAAGCAAGTAGGGGTTCATTCAGTTTGTACTGCTCATGGAACAAGGAGCTAGACTTCTTAGCAATTTGAGCTTACTATTATGTCTGAATATGGCCAGAATTTCATCAAAAAAACATAGCAGAGATGTTTTCTTCTCTTATCAAAATTTATTTATAAATGCTTTCTAATAGAAACCTATAGATAAGCACATAGGCCAAGCAGAGTTTTTCATACCTTCTGCAGGATATAGAGCTATTGATGTATTTCTTTCACATAAGGCCTTTTAAAATATTATAACTTTGGAGCTGGTTTTACATGAATGGCTGCCACATAACAGATATTCTAACCACTGCAGACAATGGCTGGCTTCAAGGCTCTTTTATCTATAAAAGTGAGATTAACTATCTCCTGTTGGATCATTTACATAATCACATAGCAATATGCATGCTACTCACATGAAAGCTAGCTTTAAAGACCCCTATAAATAAATGCATTTCCATTTCAGATATGTCATTTGCTGCGTACAACTGGAATAATACGGTAATGAATTCAAATCATCAGCTGGAACACAATCCACCCAGATCTCCTAAACATCTGTTATGTGGTTCCAAAATAGTGATGGCAGCATAGATTATATATTCATCCCTTTTGGTGATCTACATTCATTCAGTTATAAGAGTGAGGTTAATTTTCTTGCTTCTTGCTTCCTCTTTATAAAAAGAGGTCTCAGCCGGCAGCTCCAATGTGCCAGACTGCAACTCATTCATAAACTGTCACCACATCCCAATATGCACCTTAGGCACCTTCAAGTAAAATGGGCTTTTAATACTAGCCTGTTACAGTACAGAGAGAATGGATAGCATAATATTGCTGATTGGCTTTAAAAACAACCAGGAAACTTTTGTCAAATGGCAAAATGTGTGCTAAAAAGAAGTATATAGAGAAAGGAGCCACAGTTGATCATTATGTTCAGGCACTCAAATCCATTTTTTTCAAATTATGCAAGTGTCCTACCTGTCACAATCAGTTCCAGACTGAAAGTGTTCTGGCCAGCTCGATTAGTGGCAATACATGTATAGATGCCAGCATCTCTTGCTGTGACTGGCTCTATGATTAAGGAGTGTATACCATTTTCCCGTACAAGCATTTTGTGGGAATTATCAGATCGTATTACTCTTCCATTAAGTTGCCAGTTGATATCAGGAGTTGGCAAGCCACTGACCTTAAATAAAACACACCACAGTCCTCAGGAAAGCAAAAGTATGCAAAGGCTATAGACAAGCTGTGACAATTTGTTTCAGTGCATTGTATTCTGTTATCCCTAAAGACCACAAATGGATAAAAAATCATCAACTCTTTCTGCATGCATGAGCAAACTTTTTAGTATTCATAGATTTCATTGAGGTAAACAATTCTATTTGAATTGAGGTTCCATAACAAAATTAAGTTCCACAATTCACAGGGAAAAAAAAGATTTCATGCCTTGTGATCTTTTTTACATTTAATAATATCTTGATTGTTACCTTCAAGGAGGAATGTGTTGAAAAGGTTTCACTGAACAAAATTTCTTTTCAACTGTACACTATTCAGAAAATTAAACTCCATATTCTGAATCCTATAAATCAAATTTCAGCTTGTTGAATGATAAATATCACTAATAACAATTCCTGCTTGGCAAAGGTCATTTATTAGCAATTGTTTAAAGTTACAACAGCACTGGAAAAAATGACTTTTGACTAGTCCTCGCACTTACGATTGTTGCAGCAGTTTCAAAGTCATGTGACCAAATTCTTGTGCTTGGTAACCAGCATGTATTTAGGTTGGTCACAGAAGCCTGAGGCCACATGATTGCCGTTTGCAACCATCCTAGATGGCTTCTGCCAAACAAAGCCAACGGAGGAAGCCAGATTCACTTAATGACCATGTGATTCAGTGAACTGCAGTAATTTGTTTCACAAAAAAGGTGGCAAAAAGGTCACCAAATCAGGCACTTAATAACTACCTTAGCAACAGAAATTCTGGTCCTAATTGTGGTCATAAATCAAGGACTATCTGTAACCTATTAAATATTAAAAATAGAAATTTAAATATACCTTGCAATCCATTCTACAAAGTTTTCCTTCTTGAATTATCAGATCTCCTGGAGCCTGCAGGAAATGTGGTCGGAAGAAGCGTTCCTGGATTGGTTCATTTTCATCTCCACTATCCCTTGATCGAGACCGTGGTCTATAGATAACATGTAAGTCACCCCAGATTAACCTAGTATATTCCCAAATTTACTCACATTGATATAGTCAAACAGATATTACTGCAGATTTAGTTAACGCTTTCAATGAAAACTATTCATTGTTACTGCTACTTATCTCCAAGTCTTCTCCATTCTCTTTCTCAAATAATCAACTCTGCATTTCATTTGCATATTATTACAAAAAGGGATGCAAAAACATCACAAATTGATTTCTAGGTTCAAGCGTATTATGGAAAAGATTTTCTTTTCTCCACTCTAATTTAATTTACTTCATCAACAGGCAAGCAGAACTATAATACTTTACCTAATGAACTGCAATGCAATCTGTCAAGAGCTGTTTCATAATTTATAAATCAACTATCAGTATATTCCTTGTTGAAATTTTGCATCTTTTTTGGGTCTGTACAATAAACATCTGTCATGTCAATAACAGAATAACAAAATGCATTACATAGACCATGAGACAGACCGAGAAATGAAATTGCTAACTAAAAAGTCCTAAATAATTGCTTTATTATTTTTATTGAAGAGTGCAATTAAAAGCTTAATTATTAAAAGTAACAATCTCATATAAATACTAAAAATATCATAAGAACTAAAAAATATTTAGCTCAGTTCAGATTCAACAAGTTTTCAGTTATGTAATGCAATATTTGTCACTGAATTTTTGCTGTAATGTAAAATAATTTTTCATCTCCAAAAATGAATTCAATTTGAAAAGCATCAGATAAATACAGAGGAGAGATTGAGCTAATTATGTATGTCCTTAGTCAGTAATACCAATAAATAATGATAAAAAATAAAAAATATTTATATAGGTAGTCCTTAATTTAAAACAGTTCATTTAGTGATTGTTCAAACTTTCAAGGACACTGAAAAAGTGACATGACCATTTTTCACACTTACAACCATTGCATCACATGATCAAAATTCAGATTCTTGGCAACTGACTCATATTTTAGGACACTTGCAATGTCCTGGGGTCATATGTGATCATATTTTGTGACTTTCTGACAAGCAAGTCAATGGGGAAGCCAGATTTACTTAACAACCGTGTTACTAACTTAACAACTGCAGTAATTTACTTAACAAATTTGGCAAGGAAGATTGTAAAGTGGGGCAAAACTCACTTAACAAATGTTTCACATAGCAACAGAAATTTTGGGCTCAGATGTGGTTGTAAGTCAAGGACTACCTTTATTAGAGCCATACATCTTTTCTAAGTTCATAATTAATTATAATACCTTCTGATATGAGGCTGGGTAGGAGGTGTCCTGGGGCTGCGTCCCCTCTGATTGACAGCTTGGACCATCAATCGTCCTGTACAGCTTATTCTCCCCTAGGATTTGAAATTAAAAAAGAGAAAAATTATATAAATGTGAAACCGTTTTTCTGAATAGCCTTCTTTTAACAATGAAGTCTTCTAACAGTCTTTTAGGTTGTTACTTACATACTTCTACAAAGTGTTTGTTTTTAAAGATTAAAACATTTTTTTTTTGGTTTGGAGTTATTTCCATTGTAGTGTAATCACATATTTCACATGAGCTGTTGCAAACCCAACAAGAAATGAGGTGGTCAATGAATACTTAGAAACTCAGAAATACAAACAGCTGTATAAAACAGAACACAGGATATGCAGCAATGACCTATGAAAATGTAGTTTTGTTTTGTTTTAATTCTATAAAACTCTGTGTTATATCTTTATTAGGCGAATGCCACAATTACAAGTAATGTAGTAATTGGTTAATCAGAAAAGATTTTAACCAACCCCCAATGTTGCAAAACAAAGATGGAAGCAAACTGGAAAATATTTAGAAGCAATAATATTTAGAAGCATAGCTAGCTGCACCAACAGGCTGAAGAACAGTTTCTACCCGTGGACTATCAGACTCCTGAATGGAAAATAACTTCATGTCAACATAGTATGATAGACTTGTGCGGCCGGTGTGTTGTGCAATAAGTTCACATGGTACAATAAGATAGTGTGTTTGTTAGTAGGATTCACTGGGTTAGGGATTTTTCTTTTTTGTCTTCACTGTGAGTTGTGTTGGGAGGGGGTACACGAAGGGAGACTCAGCCAATCTCATTGTACACACATTGTACTCTGACAATAAAAGTTGATTTGATTTGATTTGAATATGTTATTTCTAATATCAGCAATTCTCTGCTTCGTGTTGCCTTCGTACCAGAAGTTGGCTTATTCAAATTATTATAAAGAGCCATGAAGAAATTCTACCATTCTGCCACTGTAATGAGGTACATTTCTTGAGCCTTGTTTCTTTTAAATTCAAAAGAATTATTCATTCAGCATTTGTAGTTTTGTCTGACCTTTAAATATGACAGCCTCAATTAAATTCTTTTTCTTCCCTATCATAGCTGTTACCTAATTAATCTGTTCTAGCTCACAGACCAAATTTACTAAATAGCAACTATTATTTCTTTTCTCACTATTAGGTTTTCTTGCAATTACTGTACCAAAAATTAAGCTAAATAACCACGCAAATAATTATAACATCCATATATAGTTCTATCTACAGTATTCATCTATCCATCCATGCATCCTTCTTTCTATCTTCCCCTCCAACATTTAAAGTATGTATTCATGGCTAAATGCTCAGATTGAAGGCTGTACAGCATAATTCACTACACTGAAATGAACCTGGTTACAGCAATATATGGATGAGGAACAGAGTTCCTAAATAAATGGATCACTATAATTACACCCAGCTGAACCTGACTATATGATCTACATGATCAGAAGGACTTACTGACGACATTAAAACACCCAACGGTGTTCATTAAACACTGTTGCACCAGATTAGAAAGTTGTTGCTTTCAGACATACATATATATTCATTTCAGGAAAACATACTCTGTGTGTGACCTCGTACAACCAGGGGGGCGGGGCTTAACTAGGGCTTATTTTGGGGAAAAGGTTTGTTTTAGGCACAGGCATGAAAATCGGGCTAGGACTTGTTTTTTAAATATCTGTTATTAAAACAACCATTAATTCACACATGACTAGATACCAGAACAGGGCTTGAAGCATTACAAAATCCTTTATGAACATAGAAAAATTTACTAACATTTGTGATTTTGCACAAATATTTAAAGAAATTATCCACAAAACATATGAAGTATAAAAGCTGAATGTAATTGCAACAACATAATCAGAAACACAGGAAGTAAATACCTTTTTATGCAAAGAGAAAGGAAAACTATAATTGCAACAATTAAATATATTTAAATTTTCTTTAGATTTTTCAAGAATTTAAAACCTTCCCAGGGCGTTCAAAATAAGTGGACTGAAAGACAGGCTGGGCTGGGGAAATTAGGACCAAGTCAAAATAGAATGCTACTATTGCAATCAGGGTGGAGGTTTCTGAATGTATAGCTTGGTTTCTTAGCTGTTGTCACCCATGGTTCTGACAGTATTTCTTAGCAGGATGAGTTTCATAGTTAAGATGAGTGATTGTATTTAAAGACTGTCCAACAACTGCAACTAAATAGCCTTTAAATAAGGTAGGGACAACTGCTATATCCTGAAAACCTGACACTTTAATTGAACTGCTGCTTAACCACTCAAAAAGTAAAACCACCGTAGGGAAACTGGGAAAAATTATTTACAATGATATGAAAAAGTACCTATACCCCACTGCATTTTAAAATACTTTTTCAATGTATTTCAACATAGAAATATTTTAATCTTCATTTTAACATTACTGATAGATATCATGCTTGATTTATGTTTTGTAGTTCACTGTGTAATTTAAATAAACATAACTGTGCATTTCTTCACAGAAGGAAAAAGGCACACCTATTACTTTTTATTTTATTTAGTTATAAGATTTATGTGGCTGCCCATCTTAAGCAACTCTAGGCGCCTTATAATCACTTTTGCTGAAGAAACGGGTATTTTGAAGTATCTGAAAATACAGGTACAGTACTCCCTGTACTGTTGTACTTACAATAGTTCATTTAGTGACTGAAGTTACAACAGCATTGAAAAAAATGACTTATGACCACTTTTCACATTTACAACCACTGCAGCATCCTCATGGTCATGTGATCAAAATTCAGATACTTGGCAATTGGTTCATATTTATGATGGTTGCAGTGTCCTGGGGTCATGCGATACCTTTTGTGACCTTCTGATAAGAAAGTCAATAGAGAAGCTAGGTCCACTTAACAACTGTGGTACTAATTTGGTAAGTGCAGAGATTCATCGTTGCTAGAAAGGTGGTAAAATGGGACAAAATTCATCTAACAAATACCTCCCTTAGCAACAGAAATTTTGGGCTCAATTGTGATTGTAGGTTAAGGACTAGGTGTAATTTGTTCGACAATGTTAAAACATATTACCGTGCTACACAGGCCATGGGAAAACCAAGAGTCAGTGGGCTGAAGTGGGCAGAGCCCCAGAAGTCTCTTCATGTGGTGACACTGGCAGCAGATGGGAGGAAGATGCAAAGGGGGAAGGGGAAGGCAGGCAATCCTGACGTGCTTCATGCAAGCTGAAAGACACGAAGATGACCCTCCTGTGGCTGCCCACCCACTCCATCCCACTGTTCTTGGCTTTCCTGTGGCCCATGTGGCACGTCTGAATCAAGTGCCTCCCTGCCTCTGCCTGCTGCTTGGATAGGTAATCTACTCATCTGTGCTGTGCAGGCTGCAGCTGCTGCTGGACAGCATTGGCCCCCGTGCCCTCGCTGCCTCTGGTGCTGGCCACGCCCACCATCCAATGACAACTTTAGGTCTTATTTTTGGGAAAACATGGTAGAACTGTATCTAAACTCATTAAACTTATAGCCTGGTATATAATTATTATCTAGTATTCATTTGATTTTCATCCTGCCTTTATTACTTTATAAGTAACTCAAGGCAGCAAACATATATAATACTCCTTCCTCTTTTTATTTTCTCAACAACCATCCTGTGAGGTGAGTTGGGCTGAGAGAGTGTAACTGGCCCAAGCTGGCTGTGAGGCCTAATGCGGGGTTAGAACTCACAGTCGTCTTATTTCTAGCCTGATGCCTTAACCACTAGACAAAACTGGCTCCCATTTCGTAATTCATAATTATGAATTCATAATTGCTATTATGGAACCTATAAACACACAAATGCACACCATAAGTTCCATAAATTATATATTTCTTATAATAAAATATGCAGTTCTTTAGTCAGAATATCTGGCTACAGAAACAGAGCCCAGTCAGTCCCTGCTCAGTTACTTGCCTTAAAAGATGCCAATAACAGTTGAGGAGAGGAGAGGAGAGGAGAGGAAGGACTCACAAGGATATAAGGAAAAAATTTCTATTGATGTGTAGTGGAATATTTGTTTGTAAAGAGAATAAGGCTCTCAATGATTTAAAAAGAATGTTTAAAAAAACTGAAAAGAAATATGGAAGATTTTTATCAGTTGATAAGATGAACTTGAATAAGAATAATAACTTTATTGACTACTGTTAATAACTATTGTTTGGTTTTTTATTTAAAGACAGTAATAAGTAAAATATGAAATATAGATGATTAAAGTGAAAGACAACTGATATCACTAGGTAATGTTTGTTAAAAGAAATAGAAATGTAAAAGATTGTTATTAATATTAATGGCAGAGCTGCACTTGAATAGAATAATTATTCCATTTACTATTGTTATACATATATACACAGATATATATACATATATACTTTTTTCTTTTAAGAATTTAGTGTGTATTTTAAGGGAATGTACCAAGCAGAATTTGATTGAAAATAGGTATGTGTTATAAAATAGAGGTTAGAAAATGAATGTTATAACTGTAAAGATGTAACTTAAATTTTTAAATAAGATTTGAAAAAAGATATAAAGGTGTTACACTCCAGTCTAGTAATTACAGGGGAAAATTTGTTTTATGAGAAAAGATAATATGAAATTGTAAACAGGACGGATGAAAGTATAAAAACATTGATTAGAAAGATTTTAAAAATTAGAAAAAGATATGTAATTGAATTAAGAAAGGAATGAGATAATTTAAAATAAGGCTATAGGAAGTAAAGAAATGGAAAAGCTATTGAAAAAATTGTGAAAATAGTTATAAGATATGGATTAGAATGTATAAGATTGTATTGAGTGTATTGAGTTTATGTCTGTATGGAGAAGTGATAACCCGGGGCCACGCTGTTCTCAAAAAAAAGATATTTTATTTGTATTTGTATGTTTGTGAAAACTTAAATAAATCTTTTATTCAAAAAAAAAGAAAAAAAAAGAAACATGAAATAAGATTGGTTTGGCATGATCTATTTTTAACAAACCCGTGCTGACTGCTAATTATTAGTTTACTTGTTTCTATATGTTGGC